GCTCTTCTTCAGCCTGTGAGCACTGTGGCACACGTGGGGCGTGTTTGCAGGGAGGGAGGCTTGGCAGGGGGATAGGGTGAATTTGGGCTGTTCGTTGTCTCTCAGTGCCAGAAGCGGCATCGAGTGAAACCGAGCACGGGGTGGCAAAAGGAAGTGAGTGAGATGGGTAACAGGCACGACTCCTCGCTGCAGGGTGGGCATCGGGTTGCGTGGGCTCAGGGCAAGGCTGGGCACATCCAGGAAAGCTCTCGGCCTCTCTTCTCCCAAGGAAGAACGGGACAACAGAGTACAAGCTCCTGCCTGCTGAGGCTGTCTTTGCCAACACGCTGGGGCTCCTGATCCTCCTTTTTGGGGTGCTGGTGCTGGGCGCCCTGGCCAAGCCAAGCTGGAAGCGCCCCGACGCTGACTCCCTGGACTCTTGCCAGGTACCAGCTCTGCCATGGGGTCACATGGGGACACAGGGTGACTTTGGGGACCTGCACCCCACCACAGCCCTGCCTCATCCATGCTCTCCCCGCAGCCCCTGCTCAGCGCTGAGCGCTGAGGCCTGTGTGGCAGCTGAGGTCTCTCCCTGCCCTCCCGGAGCTGCCAGCCCTGAGCTCTCCATCACTGTTGCTTCCCTGCCTGCCCCTACCTGTTGCCTTTCCTGTGGAACGGGCTCAGCTCCCTTCCAGCAGAGGTGTTGCCGCGATGAGGACATCTCTTTGCCACCTTTGTGGCCTGGCTTGAGGAGGGGGCCAGCCACGGCGCAATGCTCCTGCCTGCGTCCTCGGGCCTCTGCTTGCCCAGTTCCTGCCAGGTCAGGCTGGCCCCTTGCTCCTGGACCTCGGTGTGTGCCAAACCGTTGCCTTCGAGCCCTCCCCGGACCCCACAGCAGAGCTGTCACAGCCTCGTCAGGTCAGAAGCCACGGGATGAGCACCCAAGTGCCTGGCAGCGCTGCCACCCCCCCACCCCAGAGTCATCTGCTGCATGGCGGGGCCTGGCTTGGGGTGGCAGGGGTGGTGGGGACCCTCAC